TTCTCTCTACGATATCTATTTATTAATAATTTTATTTTTGGAGAAACAAGAGAAACAACTAATTGAATGTAATATAATATTAATGTAGATTATTATACGGTTAAAATATTTTACAAACAATTTTCTCTAACGTATAAAAAAAAATAATTATTTTCTAACGAATTAAAAAAATGAATTGGATATAAATAACGATGGGTGTAATTATAAAAAATTGATTGAAAATCATTACGAAAGAAAAATGTCTTATAAGAGTGATGAATAGGGATGAGTGGGGGAGGACAAGAATATTATCGTAGTAGTAGTAATAGTAATAGTAATAGTAACGTAAGTTGCGTGCCTAGCCTACGGGTATCGATATAAATCACGCGAGATCTTTGCCCACGACCTGGGATCATCGGTAAGAATGTTAGACATCATCCCGGAGTTGGTGAACGAACTAGATTTTAACTATACCAATCAGATCGTCACTCAATGTTTCTATATTTTTGTCTTTAACACAAAGAAACACGGTTATTATTTCAAACAGAGAACAAAATGATATCCAATCAACAACTATCCCATAATAATATTAATATTATATTAGCTAGTATGGGTTTTTATTAAACATACGTGAAAGTTGAATATGTTTATCTTAAAGTCAAAAAAGGGTTGTTGCCGTTGCACGTATACGTTGGCCCCTTGAAAAAAAGGGAAAGAACCATAAAGGTTAAAAAAAAGAAATAGAAAGAGAGAGACAGAGTGAGAATATGTAAAAAAGTTAAGAAAAAAAAAAGGAGGACTTTCCTGAAGGGATAAACGTCACACGGAACTCGAGTTTAATGGTGCGTAAACTTGGACGTGCCCCTGTTACCTTTACGTGTATGGTGGTTGTTCAAGAGATGAGCTAGAAAGGGTCGATCAAGGTTCTCCTTGTTCCTTCTTATCCTTCGTTCGTTCATTCGTTCATTCGTTCTTAGGTTTCTTACAGTTCCTTCTCGAAAGGAATTGTGGAGAGTTGAGTGTAGAATATTTTTATGTAGGTACACGTCTCTCACGAGAATCATGGACGAGAAACGATATCGACTTCATTAACGTACGAGTGCCGAGCAAATATTGATTCTAACTCGTGGAAACTGGGGTACCAGGTATGTGTGTGTTTACACGAGACCCGGCTTTTTCATGTCCTCGAGAAAGAAAAAGAAAAAGAAAGAAAGAGAGAGAAAGAGAGTAGGTTAGAATTATACGAAACGTTTCAAATAATGTTGTTATATGATTTTGAATATTTAAAGTAAGTAGGTTGATTAGTACGATTAGAATAATGAATATTTCAATCAATTTAATGTATTATAAAACATTTTTTCGTAAGATAAAATAATGTCTAAGTATATATACATATTTTTTGTTGTTGTATATTTTAATTGAACGATTAAAACGATCAGAATATTTGGTATATGTAAGTTTTAACGAAAAGGAAGAAATAATGAAATTAGAATTATATGTAAAATAGTACAATTGAATAGATAGGATTTTTCTTTGATTATCGAAAACACAACGTATATTTAAGTGTAGATGATATTTGAAATTATTAAACAGTATGTTCGAAAAAAAACGGATTAGAAAATGATTTGAATCGATTGAATTTATCTGTTGGCCGACCTTCTCCATGATAAATCGCGATGATAATATACGGATCGATCAGGATAAAGAATTTATTCTCAAGCACAAAAATGGATCCGACTAAGTACGCTTTTAGTGATTACAATCCTTGACCCAAATCGAGCAATAAAAAGCCAACGTTCGTATGAGATAGGAAGGGAGTGGACACATTGGTGACATCTTTTGTAAAATCAATAGGTTCTCTCTCTTTCTCTCTCTTTCTCTCTCTTTCTTTCTTTCTTTTACTTACTTACTTTAAATGGCAGGTTAACTGAATATAGACAAATACCTCGGAGTAAGGTCGCAGTCGGTTCAACTTCTTTCGCACGGTGATTTATCGTTAAAACGTGATATATAACCGAGTTAAAAGTCGCCGTCACTTTGAATCGATTCAAACTATTATAAATCGATCGATATATGTATTATATTATACTTCGATAATCAGAATTATTACGATAGTTATCATTTCAAATTATTTTTTTCATTATGTTATATTATCTTCGAAGTGTTTTATCACAATGATAATTAGAATAAATTTGAAATTTAAATTGAACTTGATATATTAATCGATTTATAAATCACAATAATTATTATGCTTTATTTTGTTCTCTTTCTCTCTCGTGTATCTCACATTTGCAATAATGAAAAATATTTCTCTTGTTATTTGTTCGATATACGACTCAACCCCATTAGATTAGTAAACTAGTATAGAAAACTATTCGAGATCGGAAAATAGAATTGAAGGAATATTTTTATGTATGTATGTATGTATGTGTATATATTTATATGGGGGTTTCGCTTCATCAACGAGCGGAACGCAAGAAGCCAACGGGCGTCAAACAACTGCGTCGATGAAAAAACTTGAAAAACCTTAACGAACCTTCGTAGTCGAGCCGAGTCATCTTTTTTATCTTCTTCTTCTTCTTCTTCCTTTTTTTTTTTCTTACCCGCCATGGTTAACGCGGGAGGTTTGCGAATCGTACGCGTGTTATAAAGAAAAACGTCTATGGTAGAAGACCCTCCTACCCCCCTTGCTCTAATTACACGTCGTTCTAAATTCTCGTTAAAATATTTCTTTGCAATACTACGATTCGTTCAAGCTTTTACCGTTCACGACGATTATACCAACCAGAACAGTGAACATTTTATTATATGTTATTTTTTTTTTGTTAATCAAAGAATGCTCAAACTTCCTCCTTCCACATATGGGACTTTCGAATTACGAATGTCCATTATCATTTTTCACGTTTTCATTTACGTCAATTTAAAATCATTAAAATCCACACATATGAAAGTGACAAAATTTAATTAATAAATAAATTAACGAAAAAATAAATTATACGTTGATTAGAATTTTTAATCATATGACATGTTTATATTGTACATATTAATATCAATTTAAAGGTATTGAAATTTAAGGATAAACGAATGATGAATGAAATAATAAATCGAGTAGAAATTGTTATTAAAATAAAAATAAGTGTGGAGGAAGGGTAAACGAAAAAACTAAAAATAAAAACAAAAAATAGTGACTAGTTTCCTACGAGAAGGTGCCGCGGCATGGACCCTTTGTGACACACCGGAGTCCGAGTTAGTAAATTTATATTGTACATATTAATATCAATTTGAAGGTATTGAAATTTAAGGATAAATTTGATTTTTCTTTCTCGTTTGAATCGATATTAGAAATTATTATTAAAATAAAAATAATTGTGAAGTAAAGGGTAAAGAAAAAATCTAAAAATAAAAACAAAAAATAGTGACTAGTTTTCTACGAGAAGGTGCCGCGGCATGGACCCTTTGTGACACACCGGAGTCCGAGTTAGTATAGATGGCAGGGTTCTTAGAGATAACACTGATTTATGATAGGTCGGATAGTTCGGGTAACGTGCGTTTCGGTTCGATCGTTACAAAACCGAAGTAAGAAAATCGAACGGTACTGAAGTAACATCAGACGAAGAAGAAGTAGTAGTAGAAGTAGAAGTAGAAGTAGAAGTAGAAGAAGGAAAAGAACTGACTACTAATGGCCCTAAGTCGAGAGGATTTCTCGATCCTCTTCGTCAGGGTCGGTCGATTGCTCGATCTAATAGAAAGAAGTGAAAAGCCACCAGAGCCCTCTTCTATACCGTAACTTCTTTGTCGATAAATTTTAACCAGAAGATCCATTAACTCTGTTATACACACGTTTTATACGACGAGTAAAAGAGACGATCCCGATATAAGAGAAACCATAGAACTCTCGGTGCCCATCTGTTCTTGTTGTTGTTGTTCTTGTTCTTGATGGTGGTGGTAGTGGTTGTTCCTCGTTTGTAAATGATTGAAAAAATAAAATAAAAAAGAAAGGTTTCGATAGATAAGAAAAAAAGAAAATGAGAGAGAGAGAGAGAGAGAGTAAGGGGAAATAAATAAGAGAGAAAGAGAGGGGGGAATTTATTTTTTTACTCGATAACATCTTCGACACCTTTCGTGTGGGTGATACTTTACGATCACGTATTTTCTTTTTCTTTTTTTATCTTTCCAATTAAATATCTATGAGTTATCTTATTTTTTTTTCTTTGAAGATACGTATAATACGAATTTATAAAACGTTTTTACGATGAAGGAATTCAAATAGAAAGAAGACAAAAATAAATAAAATATCGAAATGTGTCGAATTACGAAATCAAATAAAAAAAGAACGATATTATTATATCGTATAGTTTTCTTATTGCGGATGTGTATACGATGATGCCAGTCATTTTTACGTAACCAATGAACGTTCGAAAAATAGTCAATCTCTTTCCTCCCCCTCTCTCATTCTCTCTCTCTCTCTCTCTCTCTCTCTCTTTTTTCCTGACCGATAGAAAAACATACGTTGGTTTGATTATTACGAGTAGAATACTTGCGTCAGCTTTTTCTTCCAACCAGTAATAGTAAATGAGGGGCATGAGACGAAAGAAGAGTGGTTACTGTTGTTGTTGTTGTTGTTGTTGATCGACGTGAAAATCACGTCTCTCGTTATTTTTCCTTGCTAAAGTTATATATATATGTGTGTGTGTATGTAACATATACGCGTATACACGCCAATTCGAGATTGAACATCCGTGAGAGATATTGTGGGAGGAATAAAAATAAAAGCGAACATTGAAAACCGGTTCGACTTTACCAGCGTTACTTCACCTCACCTCACCCCACCACACTCCACCCCACTCCGTTCCATCATTCACCCTACCTTAACTCATACATATATGTACCCCACTCCACCCCAGACATCTAACTCTTTTTTATTTTATTCCAAGGATGTGTACCCAAGCTGAGAATTATTTGACGCATGTTGTTATATGTATTATTTCAAATGAAACATAATTGGTCGATATTATTTTCAGATGAACCAAATGTGTAAGGTCTGTGACGAGCCAGCTGCTGGATTTCATTTCGGTGCTTTCACGTGCGAGGGTTGCAAGGTAAGAAAATATTTTTCTCAATTGATATTAGTTTCCTTTTTATTTTTCATTATTATTATTATTATATATATTTTCTGTTCATCGAATAATAGAATACACATATTTAATTTTTCACATCATCCTCGTATTGATGATCTTGTTTTTAATGCGTAAATTGTAAAACATGATTTACACAAGGTGAGTCATTCGAATAATATACGAGATAATATCTCAATAAAATGATCATTTATACGAACGATTTCAATAATTACTATTAGTAATAGCATTTGAAATATTTTCTCGATTTAATGTATAATCTAACAAAAAATCTACTCGCGTATTCGTTCAACTTTTAAATATTCTCAATTCTAGTGTACCATATTTGAGAGAGATAGAACAATTCTCAGCAATCCTTAAATAAATTAATTTCTTTTTTTTAACGATTATCAACAATATTTCATTATATTTATTCAATATTCGAACTAAATAAATTTTGAAAAAAATTAATTAAAAAGTATTCATATATCTCATTTACGCGGACAAATATTGTATTATAAATATATAATATATTTGTGTGTGTGTGTGTGTGTGTGTGCAAATTAAATAACAGACATAGACGGAATTGAATTTCGAGTAAAAATACCCAATTCAATTATCGCGTATCGTTCTTACGTAGAAAAAAACACAAAAAATTACATATACCATACACATAGATAAAATTGTATTTGTAGTTGTGACTCACCCTGTTTAAGGAGGTGCTCTCAGTCTGGTTAATTGCACGCTCGAACTACTGCGACATCGCGTATTTGCTTGTCCGACGAGATCGGCACGATATCACGTGCTATCGATCGTAAAATACTAAACGTTGTGAATAAAAGAGAAAGAAGAAATCCTAACCGAAAGTGGCAATAGATGTCAATTAAAACGTTTTCGAGAAAAAAAAAACCCATGCCGACGCGTTCTTCTTCTTGTTTCTTGTTTCGTGTTTCGTGTTCTTGTTTTTTTTTTTAAATTTTTCTACATACTTTTTCTTCCATTTATTATTTGATTTCGAATTAACCGTGTGAATTATAAAAGAAGAAGAAGAAGAGGGGTGGTAACAAACAACGCACAAAACACGGTCACGATTTTGGATACAGTATTTCGGATGCAGCTGCCACTGGCATCGGCATCGGCATCGGCATCGGCATCGTGTATTGGGCATCGAAGATCGTTTCTATGCGATTTATATTCGAAGTATATTTCAGTTCCTCTCGAAATCGTAAAGCACGACGGGCGGTCTGACAAAACTCACTGTCCGGGCCTGTGGCACTCCAGTTTTTAAAATGAACTAACCAAGGTTAATAAGCACCATTCCCCTCGGCACGGTGAAAGTCAAAAATACTCAAAATATGAAAAATATATTTAAAAATAATACGAAACGAGCAATCGAGTTTCGAATATCTTGAATTTTTTCTTTTTTTAACAATATCGATTAAAATAACGGATTAATAATATTTACGATTTATTCTATATACGGATATATATATATATTTCTCAATTATATTAACCGTCTGACTTCAATTTTAATGATATGAAATTCGAAAGAACCAGTTAAACTAGAATTATACGATTTCTTTTTCTGTCATGTGTTTTATCCTTATATACATATATATATTATTTAAAAGAAAATAATTACGATCTTTTACTGGATTTTTTCTGTAACGAAATATATTTCTACATATATCTTTAACAAATTAATTACTATTCTTTAACTAAGATAAAACATATCATATTTTATATATAAAAACGAAATCATTAAAACAATAACAAACGATTCAATATATTCGAGTGTTAGATAAAAACTAATTGATAAAATTAAGAAACATTAACTTTAGATATCGTTAAATTGTAGATAACCTTTAAAGTAATACCCGGAAAATCAAAGTGAGAGATCTCCGAATGAGATCAAAGTTCATCTTAGGACGAAAGGGGTCGGAGACAGGTGAAACGCAGGCCCCAGTTATTCTCTATCGATAGTTCGACTAGTTAGAAAAGGAAGAGGAAAAGCATCGAGAGAGTAGTCTCGTTAGGCCAGGTTTATTTCTCCGAAGGGTGTTGACCCTTGCTCTCGTCCCACTAATGTGGTACACCGTCGAGAGAATATCGGTACCGCATACTAAGTGACCCATCCGATAGTAATTGGACCTCATTAAGGCAACAACGGGCAATGGTCTGTATCCATCGTCTTCTTCTTCTTCCTCTTCTTCTTCTTCTTCTTTTTCTTTTTCTTTTTCTTGGTTTCGTCTTAGATATCGTATGCGTTCGATTCTTTTCAAGTATAAGTAGAACCACAGACGAAGAGATAAAAGACGTTTTAGGTAAATTAGACGCTCTCATTCTTATCCACTGTGTGTGTGTTTGTGTATATGTATACGTACGTACGTACGTGTGTATGTGTGTAGGTGTGTGTTCCTTTTCTTTTCTTTTTTTTTTCTGTCTTTATTTTTACATTAATACTTATTCTCATAAATACTCATATAGATTTGTTAACTCGCGTATAATGGTAAATGTATGTATGTAGGAATACTATTCGCAATGGTTGGACGAATGGTCGGTCGTCTGTAAGTTGCGTAAATATGGTAACATTGTACAATTACCCTTTGCACTTTTGCAAACGCGTAGAAGCTCACTTTCGCTACCGTAAGTGTATTCCCATTTGTGTTAAATCTTGTATATAAATATATATGTATGGTTCCTTCTTATTTAACTCGCCACGGTTGGTTTCGTTTTTTTTTTTCTCAAAGAAGATGTCCAATCGCAAGAAGGGGTATTCCTTTTTTTCTTCTTTTTTCTTTCGAAATTCGAAAGACGATCATTTTTTATAGTTTGCTGTTTTCTTTACTCTCGAATTATTTTTCTTTTCAACGGAAAGAGTTTTATGAAAGGAAACGTTTAAATAGTCTTAAAAATGTGCTGCCGAGCGGATTCGCTAAGCCCATGCTTCGTATAAAATGTTCGAAGATAAAACCAAAAATGTATAGATAAGGATCGTGATTATATAAACGAATGCGAGGTCCAGTCCAAATTAATATTGCCGCGGGAGCGTGTAAGGAACGTCACATAGGGGATTCTCGAAACGCGAGACACGGGTCTTCCTAAGGATTTCGATCTTATCTTGAGATATATAACGGCGCCATTTCAGAGAGAGAGAGAGAGAAAGAGAGAGAGAGAGAGAGAGAAAAAGTGAGCTGCTACTGATATCGAGATGCTATACTAAAATAGTCTTTCAAACCATTCCAAAATTATTCTTCATATGCTATTTAAATTTATATATTGTATAATATTATCAACTTTAATATTCAAATTTATGTTAAGATCAATTGTCAACTTTATCTTTATTATTTTTTTATTTTCCAAACATTACAAATAATTACAAATAATATTATATAATCACGGAGACAAATAAGAATCTTTATTTATTTATAAGAATATATATATATATAATTTTAATTTTATTTTTAAATCGAATATCGATTTTGATAGACATATGTTATTTCAAAAAAACAAAAATAATAAACAGAAAATGAATGAAAAGTCAATAATAAATAACGAATATTATAAGATTTTGACGTTAATAGATTTCCAAGAGACTACTACTACTACTACTACCTCATTTAAATCTTAAGTTAATCTAAGAAGAAGAAGATCAAAAAAAATGTCATTCTCTCTCTCTCTCTCTCTCTTTCTTTCTCTCTCGTGGACTGGAGATTCGGAAATATTTGAAATAATTTAAGTTAGTGCGCGGGCGCGCACACTTCTTCTCTCCCAAGAGAAGAAACGAGAGATTCTCATTAGCATACTAACGACTGCCTCGAATTCTCTGCGTAACATCGACAGAGAAAGATAGAAAGAGAGACGAAGGAAGAAGGTTCTTCTTCCCTCTTACTCTTCTTTACTCTACTGGAAACCTCAGATCTTTGGCCACGTCGTCTTCCCTCCTGTTTGAGCCGACACACGCTCCGGATCTTTCCCTCGGTCTTCTTCCATTTTTGGTGCCGCGAGGAAGAACGCGACTCCCGTTCTCCAAATGTACTCCAAACACTGAAAATATGATCCTACCTTGGGATCCTCTTCAACAGGGGCGGATTAATACAAAATTAATAATTATTCGATGTTCTTCAATCCATTGATTATATCCCTCAAATTATCTACTTTGTCGATAAATTTTCATCTACGAAGTAAAAACAAAGAAAAAATTAAAGGGTGGGAGCAGAAGAGGGTGTATGTGATTTGTATTTAATTTTTTTTTTTTTAATTATAATTCTCTGTATTCTTTTGGAATAAATTATAAGTAAAAGAAGATGAGATCGAAAAGAGAAGAAAACAAAAATGGTTTGAGGAATGAGAAACGACATACGTCCGTCCCTGTTTCGAGGCCGAGTGTCGTCGTTTTCGGGTGGCGTTCGAATTCCACGTTCGTCCACTCTCTCTCTCTCTTTCTCTCTTCTTTTTTTTTTCTTTCTTTCTCAGGTGCGTTAAAATAAACGAAAGCCAGGTCGTCCGAAGGCCGAAAGAACGAGAACGAATGAGAGAAAAAGAAGAGACCGAACAGGCAAGCAACCAACCAGGGTTCGTATGAATATTAACGCGTGCGAAGAGCCCTCCTGCACCAATTCGCAAAAGAATCATTCTCTTTTTCTCTCTCTCTCTTTCTTTTTTTTAGACTCGTATATAAGTATATACATTCGAAATCGCGTTTATCATGCAAATAAAGGAGAGAACCCGTCCATTGTTTTTCGTGGTGCGAATTATGCAGGAGACTGAAAATTTGTCGGTACTCTTTCTCTCTTTTTTTTCTGTGGGTCGTAAAAAAAAAAAAAAATAAAAAAGGCAAGCATGATTCAGAGGGAGCTTCGGTTATTCATCGTTCGACAATGAGGTCGCGACTCTTTTCCTTCCTTCGAGGACGTCAAAAGATGCTACAAAAGGCTTTCGTACGTACGTATGTTCATACATTCGAGTACGTTCATTGGCTCGTT